TGTAAGGGGAAGACAACAGTGTGTGTAATAATGAACAAGCAATGGTGAAATTTCAGTTTACATGTAACACATTTCTACAAAATTAAATGTACTTGGACTTTTCCCAATACATTTTTACCTACTGTTGAAATATCTAAAATGCTCAGTGTGAGACAAAACAGACATTCTCCTAAAGCAGAATGTCAACAAAAAAAGTAGAAAAAATGCACATAACAAATATAAAATGAAATTGTATATAACAAATATTTCCATGGTGAAAAAACATCTAAACATTTTGACCACTGCGGTTCACACAATGACAGCAACTCTTCTTATTTTGGTGGCATTGGTCAAGTCACTGACACAATAACTAGATTTTAAAGCACAAATTAAATGTTTTGGGTGAGTTACTACCTTTTGCAGACATGCAAGTGACCATTGCACTACGAGATTAAGGCTGTTTCGAAAAACGTGCCAAAGCAATTGAGAAAAACTGCAGTACTTCAGCTTTAAATATGTAGAATAACAGTATGAACAGTACAGAATGTATGAATATTTTCTGTAGCCAAAAACTTTTGCAAATGCAGTACAGCAGTGATGCTGAAGTTAAGTGTCAATGAGAAGTGTTTATTTAAACTTTATTTTTTTATGCTTTTATTGCTAGTAGCACCAGCTGTGTGCAAACCATGACTATTGTCTGGCTGTGCCATAAATATTTCAGCATTTCTCCTTTAAAATTAGCTGAAAAGAACCTCCAACCAGCTTGCCCTGCTGGTGTGACCCCCATCTTGATTGGATTATGCACAGCTACGTGTGTCTAAAATATGCTATGTGATGGCATTTCCATGGTTGGTTCTTGTTACATAATGCACTTTACAATCGTTTCAGGGAATGCATGGTTCGCTATCATTTGCACAGTTCTTTGTTATTTTTGAAGATGTTTGCACAAACATCAAAACTGCACTTTGTGTAATATGTTTGTTGTCTTTCACTGATGTTTTTTTATGTATTTTTTTTTTACCTACAAAACAACTACATTTGTAAAAGCATTATTTGTTTTGTATTAAAACTACACCTGTCTGGAATTGCACATTGCTTTTAATTCCTGCAGGTCTGATTTTGTATATTGACTTGACCTGAAAAAAAGTGTTTTGAAGTTGTGTGATTGCAGTATCTGAACAATTTTTGAGTGCAGATAAATTCGCCTGAATGTGCTGTGACTGAACACACACTGCTTTTCTTATATATGAATATATGGCACTTGTGTCATGCTGCCGTTCACAGATAGAGATGAGGATCAAAGTTAGCTGATGTGAATCTCACAAAAAATGTCTGGGTCACACATTTCACCCTGAAGAGAGTAATAAGTAAATCAATAATCACTAATAAGAAACATCCTGTCCCAATACAATACTTTTCTTTTCTTTTTTTATTATTATATTGAAGGGAATTCTAGGTTCAGTACAACAAATGTCTGGGTCACTGTAAGTAAGATTCCTGTTCCTGATACAATTATTTTTTTCTTTTCTTTCCATTTCCCTTTTTTTATTTAAATTTTTTTATTTTACAGCAAATGTTTGTCCCAAAGAGTAATAAGTAAATAAGTAATGAAAAATGTTCACCCAGACACAAAATGTTTCTTTATTTTTATTTTACTTTTATTTTCATTAATTTTATGTTATTCTATTTTATAACATCTAATTCAGTACTACTACGTGTATGGTTTACAATTTAAATAAATTAATAATTTTTTTTATTTTACTTTTTTTT